AGAGGCTTCAGGACAACAGAGTCAGTGTTGTGGAGTGGCCATCACAAAGCCATGATCTCAGTCCTGTGGAAAATTTGTGGGCAGAGCTGAAAAGGCGTGTGGAGCAAGGCGGCCAACAAACCTGACTCAGTTCCACCAGTTCTGTCAGGAGGAATGGGCCAGAACTCATCAGACTGCTGTGAGAAGCTTGTGGAAGGAAACCCAGAACGTTTGACCCAAGTCATAGAGTTTAAAGGCAACGCTAGCAGATACTGAGGAGATGGATGGAAACTTCTGACTCTGAAGAACGTCATAAAAACAACTCTCTTGCATTCTTCTGGCATTTAGCAAATGAAAATAATTTCTGTAATCCTAACTGACCTAAAACAGGAAAAGTTTAGTCTGATTTAATGTCAGAAAGTGAGGAAAAAGGTTTTATGTCTTTTTATAGGGTGTCTGTAAACTTCTGATTTCAACTGTATGTTGTTATTAAATGCTTTGAAGCAGGAAAATTCACATCTTATGTTGAAATCTTTAATTATAATGATTTAAATCAAATAGAAGAAATAATGTCTATACAAACGTGGCTAATGTAAAAAAAAAAAAACAACAGCTAAACAGAAAATGAAGGTTTTTCAAGTACTCTGCTTTGAAAGAGCCACTTTAAATGTTAAAAGATTTAACACGGAGATACGATTAGTTCTGAATAAACAACTGATGTCAGTTTGTTCAGCATAGTAGAAGAATAAAAGATTTAATTCAGCCTTATCTACTGAGGCACTCGCATAGAGATCAAAATCTCTTCTACGGTCTGCGAACAAAGTGCATGTACAGCACACAAGGTCACAACGATGAAGGTTTTCACTCAAAAAACAACCACACACACACAAGGTACATCAATCAAGACAGCTATAAATAATGTTAGAAATCTAATCATGTGAAGTGTTCAAGTCTCATACAGGAACGAGGTCGTCTAAGCTTTTTGTACAACTCACTGTGGTGTGTGTGTGTGATAGCTCTCTTGTGTATTGAATTGAATTAAATGGCACTGACAGCTTCCAGCAGTTTAATATGTTGGTTTATTTTCTATTTTCAAATTAGAAACAAGCTCTGTTTGGATAGAAACATCCACTTTTAAATGAATTTTTTGTTCAAGACGTTCAACATGCGTCGTGGAGGACAATCTGCTGTCTAGACAGAGTCACATGTACGTATAACGCTCGATCAAAGTGTGGATGAATGGGACGGGCGCCATCAACTGTGAAATGCTGACATTTTGCCTTTTTGCAGTTTAGTCACAAAGCAAACAGGAGGGTCTGCAAGTCATCAGAAGCAACCAGCAGGAAGCCTGGTTTGGTTGGAAAATAACCATTTCTGTGCAAAGGAGGACAATTAATCTGCTTCCAGCATTTGAAGCAAAGCAGCTGCATGTCTGACCTGGAGTTTAAACTGTCATGTTAGTAGTTCTAGTCTGATGGTGTCTCCTGTGGTTCTGTCTGCCACACAGTGAAGCCTGCACTGAAGCTGGACTTTTATAAACTAGAAATCAAACCGACATATCTGTCAGAAAAAACTGCAATGCCCCAAATCGGCAGCCAGACCCTTGAGGGACACCTTCATCAGCCATCGAGGGGCTTGACTTCCAACAGCTGGGGCAACATACTGAAGTGATTTGGACCAGTTGTGAGCAGAACCATGAGAAAGTGGCAGCACTATGCGCACTGGAAGCAGGGCCAGGCGGAGGGACACGCCCACCTCTCACCACTGGAGCAGAATTATGATCATGTCACCTCACGTGAACCCGGAGCTCTGATTGAACAGGCGGCTCGGGAGCGCTGGACCTTCACTTCAAACGCGCTGCTACGCATTTGCGCTTATGTGGCGACGGAACCGAGCAAATGAAGGCGTGTTTCGCAGATCCCCCGGGGGTCCCAGTTGGCTTCCTTGCACCTTAGTTCCAGTTATGAAACGTGACAGCCCCCCCACCCCGCGGCTCTCTGAGCTCACCTCGGATGACACTTCAGCGAACGGACGCCCGGTGATGCTGCTGTATGTCTGGAGGTCTGACTCACCGAAAACCGTCCGCCAGCAGCTCCGCCTAACGCCACCGAGCAGCTGCGCGCAGGCTGCGGTCCGGTGGAGCACGGCTAGCTCGGGGAGCAGCAGCTGTCCAGCCGCCGCGAGCTGTCACTCAGCGCGGACGGGTCCAGACACCTGAGCTAACGTTAGCTACCGTTAACGATTAGCCTTCAACATCACCTAGTTAGAGCCGAGACAAAGGCATCACTGTAACGATACCGAGCCTCCGTCAGCGGCACCGACGACACCCGGGGGTTCGTGGTTCACCGTAAACACTCGACCCGGTTGCGTGCTTACCTTCCGTGAACGCGCCACTAGACGGTCAAATGTTAACCATCAAGAAAGCCAATCACTTATCGATTTTATGCAGAAGGACCGAAGTGTGAAGTTAGCGACAATATGGCCGCCTCCCGCCGCTTCTTCCCCTTCACAATAAAAGCGCGTGTGTTTAAAGACGCCGTTAAAAGTGCGTTTTACATTATTGTAGTGACGTTTCCCGTCTTCTCACTTTAACGTGGGATTTCTTTGCTAAGCAGGTCTTATAATGGTGACGATTTTGGTAGTTAGAAATTAGATCCATTATACAATTAACAAAATAAAAGCCTACGACGTCGTAGTGCAATGAGGGCAAATGACTTGTTGTTGCATAAAAAGAAAACATTTTACTGCATTAAGCCAATTCAATATGAGGCTGTTCCATCTCAGATCATTAGGGGCCTTCTGCTCCACCGTCTCTGATTTGCTTGAAGTATTTATATAATAAACTATTTTTGTTTTAAGTGCAAAAAAAAAAGTTGTGGTACTGTGGTTTGTTAAATCTGCTCCTAGAAATGTCTTTTCATCTTTGTGACCGTGCATTTTGTGTTTTCAAAGTATTTCATGTGTTTTTGTGTTGTAGTATTGTGAAATACAGCAACATATGGTTTAAAAAAATACTGCTAATTGATGTCTGCATTGTCATTTTTTATTTTATTTTTTCTTAACGTGTGCGTAAAGATGGGGATTTTCACGACAGCCTCGTTTTTTTCATAATTCACCTCACCCATATCAGAGATGATTTGATCCACTTGTCCAATATTGCAGATTCTGAATCAGTGGCATAATGAGAAACAACAGCAAACATTTCAGGTTTGTAGCTGCAATAGTTCCAGAGATATTGTCCTTCAAGCACAACAACTTCAAGCACAACAAAGAAAGTCGACAGGCAATTTAAAAATAAAATAAAATTTAAAAAAATTAAAAATAAATTGGGAAAGTATTTATATCAAGCTATAGTTTCGCAAATGTGTTTATAAAAAACAGATTTTGTGCTATAAAAATTCTGGCAAATCAGAGATGTGCGGAGCAGAAATTGCTCTAAAAAAATTTCATGTTTTGTGATAAAACGATTGAGGAATGAATATTGGAATAGTAGACAAACAATAGTTGAGAAGTAATCAGTAAAACGTTTCACCTCCAGTCACAACAAACTGCAAAAAGAAAGCAAATATAATCGCAAATGACAACTTTAGGTCAGGAATTACATTAAATAGCCATATACACTGTGTAGTGTGCTTTTTTAAAATATCCTGCAGGGGGCAGTAGTCCACCTAGTATCGTCTTTGCTGCCGAAAATCATTGACGAAGAAGAAGAAGAAGAAAACGCAAGATCAACGAAGAAGAGATCCAGGAAGTGTGTGTCTGCCGGTTCCATGTGTAGCTGTTAGCTCGATCATTCATTCGTGAAAGGACAACTTCAGAAGCTATTTTTATTTTTCATGCAGCACGGCCATCACTGTATTTTTACAATACGATCATTTATAATACTGCAAAAATAAAACAAAGACGAAACAGCAGCTACAGTAGCTCTAGCGAGCTAACATAGAAAATATAAATCTGATTTTAGGACGTCTGAGCCGTAGCGCGTCAACATCCCCAGTGCGCTCTCTGGATGAAAAGTGCAGTGGACACAAGTATGATCAAAGAGAACCGGTGGAACATCCCTCCCAACGCTCCAGCGTGCATGGAGAAGCATCTGTGCGCGGCGGAATACAGAGCAGGTAGGGGGAGAAAATAGGACGAGCTAGCTGGAGGTTACAGAGTTTAACACGTGGTGCCGCTAGTTGGTAATCATTACCGAGTCTGTACATCTTTACTGATCTGCAGGTGTCTTGGTGAAACTGCATATATAATCAAAAACAAAAATATTACCTAAAAAACCATCTTTGTTGTGCACAGGCTGAGCAACCAGGCCATAAGATCCGCAGACCTTCAAACAAGTTGCTTTAATATGTGTGAGCTGAAGGGAAGAAAGACTCCCAACAGTTCACTTATGCTAACTGTCACGCCTGAAGAAAATACTGGTGTTTAAATGGCCTTTTCCCATCGCCTCTCTCCCCAGATGGCACCCTGCTGCTTGGTGCCTCCAGCCTCTCTGGCAGGAGCTGGCAGGGATCTGTGTGGATCTACAGCGACCCTGAGCAGGCCCCCAATGAGGGCTTCTGCAAAGCCGGTGTGCAAACTGAGGCTGGTGTCACAGATGTCAAGTGGGTGTCTGAGAAAGGAGTTGTCGTGGCATCAGATTCAGGTAAGACGGCGTTCCACAGAAATCAGACATCGGACCTGACATTTTAATAAAAGTGGATTTTTTCTGACTGTTAGGTGCCTTGGAGCTCTGGGAACTGGCAGAGGACGAGCGCCTGCTGGTGAATCGGTTTACCAAACACGACCATGACCATATTGTCACCACAGTGAGCCCTGTATTCGGAGCAAACAGTGCCATCACTGGCAGCATGGACTGCAAGTAAGATTGTTTTACACACACACACACACATACACAGACACACACACACACAGACAGTTACACATGTCAGTTATTGACAGCAAAAGAATAACCGTCCTTTCTTCAATACAGGATTAAAGTGTGGGATCTCAGCCAGGAAACAGTCGTCACTACTTACAGCGGTAAGAGAATATCTCAAGACTCCTAACGAACGCAGATAAGAGTAAACGGGCTGCTTTTTTTTCATTTAAAAAAATAAAATATATTAAGCTCAAGTTTTGATTGTATAGATTTGATTTCATCTCTCTTCTTCACTGAACTTAAGTGGATTTGTTTGCATTGTGTTATCTATTCCTTAACCTTTTTTTTGTTACATAGTTGTAGGTGATTTTATTTCTGTTCTTCCTCGTACAAGAATATCTCAAAATCATGTCATCAGACTTCACTAAAACGTTGGTGCCACTTTCAGCCATGTGGCCGTTTTTTACCTGCAGATTCAAGATTTTATTTTTAGCTATTTTTTTATTGTACGATTTTTCTCTCTTTTGTTTATATATTTCCTGCTGACTCACAAACTCCTGCAAGTGCATACATTTAAAAAGTTTCCCACAGCCGCCCATCATCATCATCACGTGTGCTACGTTACCGACATAATTTGATAGCTGGCTGTTCAAAGTGAATCAACGTATTTATATGTCCTAACTTTTCTCTCCCTCCAGTGCACTCACAGCCTGTCAGCTGCGTTGCCTGCAGTCCCACAGAGGATTCTCTCTTCATCTCCTGTGGCCAAGTATGACACTCATTAACAGTTTGTCTGCACAACATAGGCACGGAAAGGAATGGGACGATAGTTTCTTACCATGACTGTCATATAATAAAACCATAAAGCTGTAATTACTGGAGCTTATCTGTCAGAGAAGGGCGAGAACTGTAAAACTGCTCTCTTAATCTAAACCCGACCTGTTCCCATCTTATCTCCAATCTTTCAGGACGGCCGTGTGTTAATGTGGGACAGGAGGAAGCCAAACAAACCTGCCTCAAGAATAGGTGAGCAACTGGTCCCAACTTGTTGACAGTACTGTTTTGTTTTTTTGTTTGTTTTTTTTGGCTGCACAAGAACACTGTAAATTTGTGTCATTAGAGGTTCCCTTCTACCTACCCAGTGATTGTTTGTCTGGCTGATTTCAAGATATAATCATTACTGTGATGCATCTTTCATTGCCGTCTTTGTTTTGGTCTCAGATGTGGAGTCCCCCTGCTGCTCCCCCACCACTGTCGCGTGGCACCCCCACCACAGAAGCACCATTGCTTTCGGTAAGGCCCAGCAGCAGATTACTGACCGACAGAGAAGTTTAAGCTGAGGATCCCTGCGTTTTGTTTTGTTTTTTTTAACATGTTCGTTGTGTCTCAGGTGACGAGCTGGGCAGAGTGACTGTGACAGATTTCTTGGGAACAGAACCGGCCCGGGTGGAGAACGTTCACAGCCGCAGAGTCAACAGTCTCGCTTTTTCCACACAGAGGTAAAAATAAAGAATGTCTCAATCTCACATTAGTCCTTCATTGCTTTTCTACAAAATAACAGCTTTTCCCCCCCCAGTGCCTCCTTGCTCGCCTCCGTTAGTGACGACTGTTCTGTCGCTGTTCTAAACTCTGACCTGAACGAAATGTAAGTGTTCCCGGTTCATTTAAAAAGCAGCCAGTTCCCTGCTCTGCTAGAGACACTCATCACATGTTCTTGTTCTGTAGACACAGAGATCGGCGACACCAGGACTTTGTGAAAGGAGTGTGTTGGCTGCATGGCAGCTCCACCAGCCTCACAACGGTGGGCTGGGATCATCTTGTGCTTCACCACACCGTGGGTTCAGCTGCTGGCGCTCCCGACTCCTCCTCTTAGAGATCCGGCACAATCTGTAATCACTACTTTCCCTCTTGTTCCTGAAGTGTGTCCACGAGTAGCTGGAAAGTTATTTGTTGTATGTCTTTCAGGAAATATAGATTGAAGCTTCTCGTTGTCATTCAGCGCTCCAGATATGTGCACAGTATTTGGACTTCTGCTCTCCCGGTCTGGCCTCGGACTCCGGCCTCTATCCACATCTTTCATACTGTATAGACTGTATAGCGTTTCCATGTGTTTTTACATTTGAGGCAATTGTACTGGATAATTTTACATTAACGATAACTTAGTGTTGTAATAGCAAGAGCACGTTTCTTTGTGTTCCCTGAAATCTATTTTGCAAACAGCTGTAGCTAATTGTACCGAGGATGAGAAGAATCTTACGTTGTGTTTGTGAGGATTAACGACAAGGACATGTGATCTAAAAACCATGCTGGTGGTGACGGTGACTGATCCAGACCCCTGGTCAACACTGCTGGGTCAAAGGAGGGTAGTGTGTTACGTGTTTATGTCAGACGAGTGTGGGGGCGGTCGGCTCAGAAGTTAACTAGATTACACCAGTGATTTTAACTAAGTGGCAACTTAGGTGTCACTGCTCATCTGGGATCTGATGTTGTGGTCTGGACTCCGATGCTGTAATGATGGTCACATGATGGCACCGGCGCAGTTTAACAGCATTTGTGTTTGTCAGATTACCTGCCATTTGACATGTTTTGGTCAGTCTTGGAATCAAAGGAAAACAATTTTGTACTTTGCAGGATCTTCGCATGATCACTTAATGCTGCTGTTACAATAAAAGTAACTTCCTGTCACTCTGGTTTTTCCTTTTAGTACATGATGGGTGTTTGATTTGCAGCAAAATTCTGACCCACATCTCAGTTTGTTCTGTCAGTTGTTTTATCCCTGTGCAGTGCAGAAGAGGAGATGGGAATAGTGGCGTCAAGGGTTTAATACGGAGAAAATTCTGAAAAATAAATGAACTACGACATCTTGACGTGATCACAAAAGCTTTATATTACACACAAAAAAAACACACCAAAGACCTCTAGTTCCTGTTTGCTTTTATTTCCACGTGGGCATTTGTTGGGCAACGTTTGCTGTAGATGAATAACTCAGTTCGATGAATATATAACCTTAACGTGTACATAGAGCTGCATCTTACAACATCCAAGTTCTGTTTTAATTTTATACAAACATATGTACATCAATAACAATGCAATGCAACTATACTGACAGATTTCACTGTAAAAGTAAGTTGACTTGTATACTGACACTTGTTAGATCAATAAATATGGGAAACGGACTCTGGCACTCATCTGATTAACTGTCGCACCAGTCGACCTGCATCATGTACATGTAACAGTGAAAGAACACGAACGACAACAAATATGTATTTTACAATCAAAACTGTTCTACGTTACCCAAGTGGAATTAAGATCGATTAAAAGCTGTGGTTAAAAGGCAACATGTGCAACATATAGCTCTACACTGGAACAACAGCAGCAGCAAAACAAAAGTCTTTAAAAAAAAAAGGTCCACCTGACTGTGACGCTTCAAAAATGTGTACAATATATAAAAATGTAAAAGAGAACGCTTTGACAGTGTGAGCTCAGTCATTCATAACTGAGCAGATCTGTTGTTATGAGACATTCTTTCCATATTCATGTAACCAATTTGTTCAAAGTGCCTTTACCCTGTCGTACAAATTCCTGCTAATGTAAAAATATGCAAACACGTACAATGTGCGCTTTGTACAGCAGATGTGTCCCATTTCCACAGAACCTTACGGCTCCCCTTTATGAACAAGTGTAATGGGCTGTTTGGTTCCAGGCCGAACCGTAAAAGTCATGCCGTACTGATGTTTTGACTGTGGTCCGTTGCTGAAAAAGAAGAAAGCAGTTTGAGCGGACACAGTACTCAAAAATGTACAAGTTAAACTTTAAAAAGTCAAAATTCTCACCTCGTAGGAGCTTTGACTGGCGCCGTCTCCTGATATTTTCTGGCCACTTTATTCTCCAGCTCCCGCATGTCCAGAGTTGCTGCTTTGTTGACAACGGGGACGCTTTTGGTTGGCGGTTTGGCTTTGAGCACAACAGGGATTTTATTGTCCTCATCAGACAGTGGGGTGCCCCAGTCATCAGAACTGGGCTCTGCGTCCTTGGCTGGGCCCATTTTGTGGTCCATTTCCAGCATCTTCTTTTGTAAGATGCTCAGAAGAGTGGCCTGACTGGGGGAAAGATTGGGTGGCAGCTGAGCGGGGGCTGACTTGGGTTTTGTCTGGACTTGTGGCTTTGGTTTGACATCAAAGTCGGGAGGTGGGAGTTTGGGAGGTGCCGGGGGTGGAGGTTTTGGAGGATTTGGAGGAGGAGATGGAACTGGAGCCGGAGCGAGAAGACTCACGGTTGGTCTCGGTACCTTTTTGATGGGAGGGTCAGGGGGAAGGATGGACGGGGGCGGCTCCATCATCTCGTCTAAATCATCAAACTCTGGTGGTGGAGGGAGTAAGGGCACATTCAGCTCCTCTTTACTGTCCTCCTGCTGCACAGGCTGGGACTTCAGGGGACTTTGCTGTGAACTTTGTTTCTGCTCTGTCAGGTTGCTCACAGCTGGGGATGCAGCTGCTGTGATCCTATCAAGAGCTGGATTGGTGGATGGCGTCCGTTCTTTTATCAGTTCAGGACTTCTGGATTTTGCTGGAGTCTGAACTGTTGGTGTGTTTTCCACAGAACTGACAGATTTCAGACTCGCCTGGAGTCTTTCTTCTGTGGATGTTAGAGAAGAGGATGAGCCAGACCTTGGGATCACAACAAAGGAATTGGGACTTGAGTCACTCGGGTGGATGCTTGCACTCGACTGGTCGCTCTTGGCACTGTTTTCCCGCGACAGAGAGTGGTGAGTTGATCTCTGTTTGTCTCTTTCCTTTGCTGCCATTAAAAGAGCCAGCGGAGAGGCTGCCGGTCCGTCTCGTGCCCCGCTGGTTTCATTAGCTTTCAGGTGGCGTAGTTTACGATCCAGTAACGGACTGTATCTGCGGCCCAGACTTGGCACTTCATTGGGTTTGCTCTTGCTGGGATTTGAAATCACCTGAGCACTAAGCTGAGGAGACTTTTGAGGCTGAGACTGGACCGGTTTGGGTATTTCTGGCTTTACTGAAACCGTCTCCGTTTTAGCCTCCTTCTTTATCTCAGGTTGGGGTACCTGAGAGGGTTGGGTGATTTGTAAGTTCTCCTTTATCTCCTGTACGTCTTTGGGAACTGGTTTAGTTGGTGGAGCCACTTTAGAGGCTTTCCCATTCGCCTGGACAACCACCGGGACGGAGTTAACAGACCCAGAGTCTTCCAGGACTAACATCTGCTTACGTTTTGCGTCGATCCTTGATTGATCCTCATACCCACTTAGTATTGAGGTCTTAGGAGCGTTATACAGCTTCGCTGTGTTCTGGGGATTGAAGGTGGACAATGTGGGAGTCTGAACAGGGGGAGGCGGTGCAGGAGACTGTGGTGGGGAGTCAAGGCTGGAGACAGAAGACCATCTCATGGGCTTAGGGGGTGGCACCTTATGAGTCTTTTGCTTTTCAGCAGGGGGGTGTGGCGGGGCAAACCTGGGATGATCAGGAACATTGGCTGGTGATGGAGTAGAAATGGGTATGGATGATCCAGAGCCGGAAGAGCAAGTAGATGGAGGCTTTGGTGGAGCCATCGGTGGCGGTTTTAGGAAGGAATAGTCCTCTTCCACCATGGACGGTGCGAGTGTTGGGAGTTTTGGTGCAGGCATGGAAGGAGGCTGAAGACTGTTCAGATCGCCCATGAAGTCTGGTGGAGGAGGGACGAACGTCCCTGGAGGGGGTGGAGGCGCTGTAGAAGGAGGAGGAGGAACAAAAATCTCTCCTTCCACAAGGTCGGGCACAGAGATAACAGATCCATTGGACAAGTGACTTCCAAGAGCTGTGAAGGAAAACAGAGAGTAACTGCTTTTGTCATCTGTGGCGCATGAGAAGAAAACAGTGTTTAATATTTGACATTGTCCTGCAATCATTTACATATGAACTATATGAGACAAGTTTAGTATGTCAGTAATTACAATATATTTGCCAGAATGGTTGTGAATATGATCACATTCTTCCATTCTCCTTCAAGAATGTCACATTCACCTCAGAATATCTAAACAGGGAGAAATAATTAGAAGGACGGTGAAACTGATTCTGGAGTTTAAATCCTGAACATCAAATAAGATGAAAATCCTTCATTCAGAATTGCTCAGAACTAAAATGAAAAGCATCTTATTCACTTCTTTCTATAAATGCGAACACTCCCACTCTGTAAACATGCTCGCCAGCTGCTATGGCTCTTTGGACATTTCCAGGAGGGTTATTGAGCAATTGCCTGGACAAACATTTACCCGCCTGGCCTTTTTTTCTTTCACTCTAATTGCTGTGATCCATCAACCGAGTCTGAGCAAAGGCACCACAAAATGATTGGAGTCTTATGGAGGTTAAATAAAGGAATTCTAACCTTTTAACCAAGTTAAACCTAAAGTACATAATGGAGGCAGTTTGACGCTCACCTGAACCGTTGGTCTTTGGACCGTTGACGGGGGGAAGCAGAGGGACTTTGGGTGTTGGGACGGCAAACCCTTGAAAACTGTCAGACGAGTACTGAGAAGGAGAAATCAAACACCATCAGATGGGGGACTTGTTCAAATTCCTTGACACAAGAAACAAAGCGTAATTCAAGAACAGCAGTAAAGATGAGATAAACTCTACGTCCTGATCTATAGGTGGATTTTTCTTTTTTTTGCTCACAAGTGTTCACTCTTGAGGTGAACAAACCAGTTTTCAGTTCTGTGTTCTTGCATTATTAGCATCAACAGAACAAAGCTGCAGCCAAATGCGCTTCGTATCACAAGTAACATCCAGCACAAAGACACTCCAATGACTTATTTGCAAGTAATTTAAAGTTAAATCTGTAAAGCAGCTTTGCAGCAAATGCATTCCTGACTTTATTTTTAAGCTCTGTCACAACAGAACCGTAGGTGGAGACTTCAAGAGCAAATGTTTCTGGACTACGGTCACAGTTTGTACACCGGCGCTTTCGCATACTTCAGTCATGAGGAAGATTTGGTGAATCAGAGGATACACCTATTATTCAACGCATTGTTTGTTAAAGTGGGTCTGACGGAGAGAATCACAGGCTGTCACTAGGATACCTGGCTGTTTGTGAGGGAGGGAGGAGACAAAAAAGAAAAGGGACGGCCAGAGAGGGAGAGTTGCCATTCTCCTCTGAGCCCAAACACCACCATAAATAAACAGAGACTGTGTTGACACAATACAAATCCATGACTTTCAACACGGTACGCGCCATTCAAAAGGGCAGAAAATCATTCCATCGACACGTAACTTATGTTTACAGCTGAGCCTCATGATGCAAGTCTGCTGCAGGTAACCAGCTAATGCAATAAAGCAAAAAGCTCACAGCGGTTTTAATAATACAGGAGTAATGAATTAGGATCTAAGATCTGCTAGTGGAAAAGACGTTCACAAATATAAACTAGTGGGACATCTGCTTGATATCACACCTTCCATGACGATCTGTTTTCTAATAATCCCACTTACGTAGCCGCTCGGAAAGGCGTGAACGCTGCATCACCGGCCAAGGGCGTGCCACTAAACATGGTGTATGATCCAGTTTGATTTCATCTGCTTGTTCTCTGCGCCGTGACTCACTTTCATCTGTCGCAGCCGTCAGAGCTGTCCTACCCATGTGCTGCTGGGTGTGCCACGGCCACATGCCACAGACGCATTCACAGAACACTCCCAAACACCGAGGCGAGGTGTGTGAACCGGAGCGCAGATGAGCTTTTTGTGTACATGTGCACCGTGGTGATATAATGAGAGGTCTGTCAGTCACACGGGCAGCTGATGAGTTAAGACGTGTCTTCCCAAACCGCTTAGAAAAGGACTGTTGTGTCGTAGCAGCATGTTGGGATATCTGCACTTGTTATACATAATGGTGACAGACTTGTGGGTGTGAAAATATCAGCACCACAACAAAAACTCTTATTTAAAATTCTACTTAAGAAAAAGAAGAAATGTAATCATCAAAAGCTAAAGTATGAGAGTTGAACTATATATTTTTACTACAGGGGGTGACATGGGTTTTATCTTTAACGTTGTATTTACTTATTAAACTCGTGTTTTTGTGGAATCATATTCTGTCAGCTAACTAGTGGTTGTAACAGTCAGATAAATGTCATATATAAAGTAAAATATTTCCCTCAGACGTGCAGCAGAATAGAAGTGAAGCAAGACAAAACTGAACTAAAGTACAACACTGGACTTTATTTACTACTGACAGTATTATCAACACTGTGTACACGCTACACCTATTTAACACACAGTTTTGTCATTTTCTATTTCTTAACTGTAATTCCAAATTTTATCTTGGTTTTGCAGTTTGTGCTTGCAGTGTGTTGGAACTGGATGTGATTAATCGATTCGTTGTTCACTATTAACTTAATTGTCACCTGTTCTGATAGTCCAATAATTGGTGGGAGGAATTTTTAAAGAAAAAAATATAAAAATCTCCTGATTTCAGTTTGATCAAATCGACTACTTTCTAGTTTGTTTGTTTCCGTGTGACAGTAAACTGAATATCTTTGGTTTGAGGAAAAAAATTAGATGTTTACGGTCTCTGAGAAACATTTTTCACCAAATTCTGATATTTTATGGACCAAACTCCTGATTGATTAATCATTAAAATGACTGACAGTGAAAATAATCTCTACTGAACTGCCGAACAGTCTCGCTGATGATTTATACTGTGGACAAAATGGTCAGATAACGTCCTGTTCCAAGAAAAAAGTGAGCGTTATCACTCCCACCGTGAGATACGAGAAAGGAAGTCCTGAATGAACTGTCGATACACTAAAGTGTCCACTATCAGCTCATTTGCACCTGCAGGGTTCAACATGAAATACTCCTTCCGCTGCAGGTGACCGACAGGGTGGAGACGCGCCACATGCAAATCCTGTGTTGTTTCAACATCACAATATTGGGTATGTAAGAATTCACCTATGAAGCTTTATACTCACAGCGTGATGCTTGACTGTGGGTCGGGCTCGCACGCTGGCCGTCCCTGACTCTGGGATCGCAGACGACTCCAGCACCAGCTCCACATTATCTGAAGGAAGAGAATAAAAGCAGGACGTTAGAAAGTCAGTGAACAATTTGGCCATAATGGACAAACACTGTGGTTGAAGTGGGACACAATAACCGTAGTTGTGCAGGTAATGAGATAGTGTTTGCACCGAGGCGGCCTCTTATTAGCTGTCAGTCAACGTGAGGATCTGCTTTGTGGTTTCTTGTTGCTGACAACAAAATAGCTGCACCGATGATTGTCGTCTGTATTTGCGTCTCCCCGTTGTGTTGCAGTGAAAGTTCAGGTATGGTGACAACTGAGGCTAATTACAGCAGCACAGCAATGTCAAAGAAAAAGTGCCATTTCCAAACAGTTAATCTGTTGTGTCTGAGTCGTAACTATGCTCACTCTTTCTACTCTGCTAAACACTGCTTCTTTACCTATTTATGGTTTGTACTAAAACAGTGGAGCGTAATGAGCTTCAAGTCCCTCGTGTCAGCTTTTCTGTAAGACAACCCTGAATGTGAATAAAAAGAGCCGTGAGGCAAAGACCGAGCCACAGTGACAGTTCTGAACGATAATATCAGAGGTCACTGGAGTCGATGGGAGAGAACAAACTAAGTACATTCCTCTGCTGTTCACTCCGCCGTCAGACATGTTTGTCCAGTAAATGACTGATGAAAGACACTTGACACTGAGAGGCACTTCATCAGAGCTCTTCCAGCCTTCTGAGGCTTTTCATCTGCAGAGAGAGCGACTGAAGAGCATGCCATTACAAACAAGGAAAGCAAAGTGTTTTGTTTTTTTCTCTTCCTTCTGTCATAAAGTATAATAAACCACGCCGATGCCCTCGAGACGTTCACACGCCCGTAAACCAAACGATATGATGATGATGTCACTCCAGGAAAATGTGACAGGAGCTCGGTGTGACCCGCTACAGGATGAGTTCTGTGTGGTGTTAAACCAGTCCAACCAAATCAGTCGTTTCCCTCTTGTGTCCCCTTCCTGATTTAAATAGACAAATGTTCTTTCTCATGTTGCACCTTTGCATATCAATTGTTTTGTTTTGTTTCCTGCTCTCGCCGGTCAAACGGAACCGGTGTCCCGTGGAGCCGGGCCGCTTATCGGATGTCAGTTCATGAAAGTAGATATTCTCCAGGATTTGAGCTGCAATATCGAGATAAAGTTTCTCCGTCGTCATTTCCTGATCTGGAAGGCTGCTTTGCATGTAATTGGACAGTCATCGTTCATATGTCAGTAGTTTGACAAAAATAAAAAATCAGATCAACATCCTGTTTTTGTTTTTTTTTAGGATGGAGTTGAGTTCTTCCAGCTTCATCCTAAGTGGATGCAGGTCGCTCAGTTGTCTATACGACTTAATGTATGTTCTACAAATATATAGTTACAATCAGCCAATCAGAACCAGATTTTTTGTCAGATATTTCATTTTTTTTGTTGTGTATCAAGCATAACTGCACTACAGCCGGTCTGTTTATCAGTAAAATACAATTTCAAATCCAGAGTTCTGGATCTAAATGACAAAATTTAGATCTAAGTGGACAAAGTTAGTTAAAAAAAAATAGAGCCCAGGTCAGTATAAACATACAAGGTCACCCAGATTATCTAAGGAGGGACTTTAACATGAAATAACAGGTTCTTCATTTGTTATTAACAGTCATTTATTACACCTGTTCACCTGAACATGCCACTAAAACACCAATAAGTTTCCTTTACGGTTTCCTTAAACCAGCTGTTTTCCAGGCTCCATGTGGGAGCTTCGTGGCAACTTGAACACGTTTGTCCGTTTCAGCACCAAGTCCAAAGGTCGTGTTGTTCTGCAGCAGAAGCTCCTGTAAACACGGACTCCTGGTTCTGGACCCAGTGGAGGCCCGCTGGCTGCGTACTCACCCATGTCCTTCATTTTGACGTTGGTGTCGAACAGGGACTGGTTCTTTCGACCCAAAAAATTCAGTCCCTTCTTCATCGTGACTGGTCGGTTGGTTTGGACTCTTCGGTTCGGCGGAGGATCATTGGCACATGACTGGTCGGCAGATAAATCCCAGGTGAAGCGCAGGAGAGTCGAGCTTTTTTTTGCGCGACAGGTGCACCGCGGGGCCGCGCAGGTAAACCTGATTCCTGTGATTTGGTGCAAACTTTTTCTGGACAGGGAGAGAAAATGGGGCAAACTCCGCCCACCGCTGCTCTCACCGCGCCGCCCCGCTCGCGCTCCACTCCCAGCTGCAGGTGAGGCGCTGCTCCGTCACGCGCATTCCTGCGACACATCTCACCTGCGGGATGAAGGAGCTGCTGGAAGCACCGTGGTCTGCCTGAGGAGGAGGAGGATGACCATAAACATGAGGAGGAACACGCTTTACAGCCAGTTGGAAGAAAGCCAGATGAGATTCATGCTGCATGGATCACCAACAGGAAATAAGAGGCTGATGGGAAATAAAATGTTTATTTACTGTTATGGTTATAAATTTGATCATAAAATACCCAAGTTATGGACGAACATACAGCTTATCCACTGGCTTTTTCATTTATTACTACTTTATACTTTCAGGCTATAACTGGAAATGAAGAACAAAACAAGTTTGCAAAATCTAAAACTATTAAATTAAATTAAATTACTACGATTACTGAACAGAATAGAACAGAATAGAATAGAATAGCCACTTTATTGTCAAACAGAACATACACTAGCTACTAAAACAAAAACAAAAACAAAAACTCGCCATCAGACTGATAAAAAACAGAACAAATGTTATTAGAAATAAAACAATTGCTATAAGTAGAAACTATATAAAATACACAAAAATATACACATCCACACACATTTATGTCACAGTGAAAGTTGCAGCAGTTTTCCTGCAGTGAACTTAACATAATAATAATAATAATAATAATCTCCTTTCACATTTTGCTGACTCTACCTGAATTGAGAGTGTTTTAGTGCATTATTGCTGCTTTTACTTTCGTGATCAGTTGGAATCTCCCTGCATCCCGTCTCTGTGTGATTTACAAGAATTTCAGGAAGTTTTCAAACACGTGACAATAAAGTTAAAGCAATCTAAACTGATGGGAGTGAAGGGTTATAAAGAAGTGTAGCCTGTACAGGTCAGTGCAGCCAAACAGTAAAACCACAAAGAGACTTAAGCAGGAGTATTGAACCACATTTGATCAGATGTATCAGAAATGTGGAGCTAAACCATTCTGAAGTTTATCAAAACCTGAATATTTAAACAAACTGGAGACTCACATGATCCATCCTGTAGGACAGAGATATGATCTTTAATGTTTGACTGAAGCCTGAACAAAACAAAGCAGTAACTGTTCTACTTGTTGTCCCTCTGGGTGTTTGCTCAGTTAGTTATTAGGTTAAGCTGAAACATTAAGTTTCTGTTATGAATCCATTTTTTTAGTCTTTATGACAAATGTGTGTCATCGCTCAGGTAAAACCTGAACTCCACGGTATTACTTCCCTAAAGACGGTGAAGCATGTGACTTATGTAAGCTGGATAACCACAAAGATGATGCTGAGGAGCCTTGACTAAAGAGGATCAGGGATCCTGTCGGGTTGAGCCGACCCTCCTGACAGCGGCCCGATAGCAGCACTCACTCACTGTCCATCTGACCTAAACGACCACCTTTGCTCTTTCATTCGTTAAGGCCGAGGAGATCCTTCAACATGTTTGTTTACAGGCAGAGCTTTACACAATAGAGACAGTAGAGACATTTCTCTTGTATTCAGACGGCAGCTTTGGCCTTCAGACCTTCTTCAAGTGTTAAAGTATTATACTTAGTGCAAATCTCTGGTACTTGCTCTACATTAGGATTTAATTTTATGCTACTTTATACTTTAAATAACACATTTTAGAGGGAAATGTTTTAGTTGTTACTCCTCTACTGTTACTAGTTTCTGTGTGCATAAAACAATAATAATAATGAAGATATAACGTTGTGTGTTATGCTGAGTCTCTGTGTTATGGGATGGACATTTCTAAAGTCCAACACACCACCAGCTGCTCCCACTACAACCTCAACTATCAGCTCAGTATAAAGTCATCACTATTTTGACGTCAACAGAAAATGCTTTGTAGAAATGAAATGTATTGGATGTAAAAGTATGGATTGGATCACATGAGATGTCACAGATGTTCTTCATAAGGAGTCTACATTTGTATACAGTATACCAACAGTTTTATTATTATTATTTACTTTTATTTACATAGCACCAATTCACTACGTGTGTCATCTCAATGCCCGTCACATGATCAGGTAAAAACCTCACACAGTTATGCTGAGAAACCCAAAATCCCGTTGCTCTTGGCAACGGTGGGAAGAAAACATCAATAATGAGGACGGAGGAAACATCCTGGGAGGAACTCCTGTTTCTTCAGAGTGATCCTGGAAGATTATGATGAGATCCAGCTGTAGTTTAGTCCTTAAAAACAGATTTTAGGCACTTTTTGTTAATGCCATAAGAATATTGTTTAAGCTGAAACAACCGTGTGGCTGAAAGTTTCCAGACAAAGACAGTAAGTCGACGTTTTAGGATGAGTAAGCGTTCACTGTTTATGTTGCTCAGCAACAGTCAAAACCTGAGATTGCTTCAAGAAATAATCATTCATTGGATATGTGTAGTGTTGCACAATGACAAAGAGTGAGCAGGATTATGTTCATTTTTAAGTCAGTTTCTTTGATAATATTTTACTGATATTAAATATAAGTTGACAAATGTACACGTTTAATCATAAACGACGATAAAGGAAGTGGATGTGGGACTAGTTCTGGCCTGTGCGCTTAATTACATAACTGCCGGATTTTCAAAATATTTAAATTATGCTGTCCAGAGAACCAGTCTGTCTTTTCCTGCTCTTGGCTACAGTCACGGTGTTTCTATCAAGTTTGTCTGTCGCACCTAAACCCGGTTTGTACTGGAGACAAAGCAGACTGGTCCATCCAGTTCCTCTGTCCTTGGTGGAAATCCGTCATGCCGCCTGCTGAAATGTGAAGAATGTCGTGGCATGAGCCTCTAATGTTTTACCTCCTTCACGGTGTCGAAGCTCAGATCTGCCCAGCATCAGACACGAGTGGTGGCAGTTTGTTCTGCTACCCAGTGGGTCATTTTAATATTCATATTTAGTTATCAATCAGCACATTGGACTCATTCTGTGACAAGTTTGTATTACAGTGGCTTTTAAAAAAAAACCTCTTTAATTTAATTTAAGCTAATAAAGGCACTTTACACTGGTAATAAAAGGTTTAATTATGTTTTATATGAACAAGGCTCTGATGGCGCGTCTCGACTTCTGCTTTGATCTCCATTTTGGTTTTTTTTGCCATTGCAGCTTTAACTATAAATCACCGACCCGTTTAAAATCCAAACTTAGCACAAAGCTTAAAGTACGCGTCTTTAGATCCGTAAAGTAAAAGGAAACGAACACAGTAAATATTTCATCATTCCATCACGATGACTCACGAAGAGCCCAGAATGAAACCGCAGCTGAAATCTGAACTAAAAGTTATTGTGCAGAAGAATGTGTTTAGTTCCCAACAGTGTGCTGCTGGATCACACGCCCACACGACGGCTTTCTGTTCATTGTTTCAAAAGCGGTTCCAGAAAAAACTGTTCACGTAAAGGCCTGTGGTTTGTACACATTAATGGTGAAGTTGTTTCTGGAGAGAGATGCCAGATCTGTAATGATTTACTTTTATTGGCAGATGAAGTTTTCAGTCAGTCTGTGGTTGTTGTCTGCTGTCAGTCTCCTCTTGTGCACCTGTTTGCTTTCATTTCATTGTCTGGGAGTGATCTACGTTTGTTGATGTAATGTGATCGAGTCGCACGCTTCAGTGAATAAATCATGATGCTGCTTCTTTTTTTAAATTGAATTAATTTGTGTGTGTTTTTACTGATCATTGCGTTCTTATAAACTCCATTGCTGTCGTAGCTTCATGTTCGGTTTCATGGTGAGTTTGGAACATCTGTCCACAGACTAGAGGTGGAACATAAATAAAACAGAAACCAGAATGGCTTTCTCGTCTAGTGATGGAATCAGTAATCCTCAACGTGGACAAGTAATACTGAAGCTATAAGCGTAGCTAAATGCTATTAAGCGAGCGCTCGGTGTACTGAGCCGTTAACATGCTGTACCATCCTGCTCTAACTACTTCTGTCACTCTTATATCTAAAGTTTCTTGGCACCAAATAGCAGATGAGAGACCTTCCTCCTGTGAAGCCAGGGTGAGCTGAGAGGTCGTGCACGGAGAAGACTCGAGGAAGGTTTTGCAAGGATCTAAAAAAAAGCTGCAAAACTGCTATTTGACGATGACAGCTGACTGACTAACATTTCTCATTCGTTGTACGTGCAGACTGAACCTGTGTGAACCTCTGAGTTCACCTCCTGGTTTCTCCTCGGTGTCACTGACCCCTCTCTGCTTTAACAAACCCAGTGTTGGCTGACGTGGGACACCGGCTTCCAGTGGGTCGAATGAACTGAAGCTGACTCCAGCTGTGGCCTTTGTTTCACCTGTAGGACGATGACAGCAGCCTGACATTACACAACACTGTGAAGAAGAAGCTCCACATGCAGTCAGTCAGGCTTCATTCATTCATTCATTCATTCATTCATTCATTCATTCATTCATTTTGGGCTTCGTGTCATCCGTTGGTTCACCCACCAGACTGAAATACCTCTATGAGACAGCTTGAATTGAATTGTGCAAACTCTCCTGACTTTTCATGCCCAGATTTAACTTTTGTGCTGCTTTGGTTTATAACAAACGTCCTGAAAAGCAAATGAGTTGTTTAATGTCAGCATATATGCTGCTGTCCTGGCATGTAGGCATGTATACAAAACAGAGAAGCTTAAAAAGAGGCCGAGGGATGGTTGAGAGTCCACCAACATATGGGACACCATGTGTTCACATCTCATTCAATACAGTGGATTATATCTACAAATAAATGAGCAAAACATGGAACAAATTGAGTTCAATAAATTAAATAACGTCTGAAATGAGTCAGAAATCTCACACCTGATTTTTTTTGGCAGCTGGTGTCGTCCTGTACAGCGGGATTAGCCTCCGCTCTTAGGTCTCTTTAATTAGTTAAGTCTTCACTGGCGACCTAAGTGGATTACAGCCGCTGAGCTTTTCACACAGAGACACGATTGGCCAACAAACAGAGGTTCCTGCTGCTCGCAAACACTTCTCACTCGGCGAAGGGGGCTCGGTGGATGTGATACGTTCTCGATATGGTTTTTACATGAGTTTTCTTTTTTTAGTTTAGTCTTTTTTTTGTTTTGCATTTTCATTCTTAAAAATAAAACAAAAAACAGAAATGGGAAACAGCAATGGGCCGGACATGGAGGAGCTGCAGGCCTGTGAGAGTCATCAGTGGTACAGAAAGTTTATGACCGAGTGTCCATCAGGACTTCTCACCTTCTACGAGTTCAAGAAGTTCTTTGGCCTGAAGAATCTGACGGAGACATCAAACGCATACGTGCGGACCATGTTCACAACATTTGACATGAATGACGTAAGATAACTCTTTATGTTCTTTCTTGAATATGTATTAATCCTAATTTTTTTATTTGAGTAAAGATAAATCCTCAAGAGATTAGTTGCTTTTTATCTTTTTCTGCACTGACAGGCTTTAAAGCAACAGATACGTTGCAAACAAAAAGAAAAAGTTTTGCTTCACTTCTACATAATTAATTTGAACTTCTGATATTAAGAATACTATTGAAGCTAATAACACACTGCTATGCTACAAGAACTGTTACCAGCATTAGAAATCACAAGCCTCGCTCCTCTCATCATCAGAAAACCCACAGTGACATAAACAAACATATAACATAAGATTATTTGCTGATTATTTTTCACAACAATATACATATGGGTGTATTATTTCATGTCTATGAAAAGGTTCTGGCAAACCTCTGCAGGCAAAACTCTACGATCAGAGAAACTGTGCATTTTGCTTCATTGTCTGTTTGTGTTGTCACTGGAGGAAAGTTGTTCAAATTATTTCTGTCTGAGAGGAACTTAGCCTATTAGAGAGGGGGCTTAACCTGCCGACGCTGACCTACAACCTTAAACAAGAATGGTGCAACCTCCTTACGTAGGCATGAGAACTAGTGGCAGGTGTACAGTCCTCCTCTGATGTATTCATAGCCTCCCATTAAAGAAGGAAAAAAACTGCTTCAGTCGCTGGAATAAGTCAAAATTGATAAAAATAAAAAAAAAAGTAATAATAAATAAATATGTAATGAAAACCATGACATTGCTTTTGAATTGTGGTTCAACAGAAATATATATATTTTAAAAAACAAACAAAAAACAAACCAGCATGATGGCACCGTAAACTAATATGTAGCTGAACAACCCTCTGAGCCAATCACTGCCATCAGGTGTTTCCTGCAACTCTCAGTCAGACTTGTGCACCTGTTGACAGGTATTCTGATTTCATTGCTCATCAGCAAAGTGCTCTCATTTGTCCAGGACAGTTTTTTTTTTTTTTTTTTAATTATCCCTTTTAAACACAATTCAAAAAGCAATGTCATATTTCACTAAATTATAATTTAGCAAATTTTTATTTATTATTACTTTTTTCAGTTTCTAGTTAATTAATTGTGAATTTTGCCTTTTCTTTTTAATGGAAGGGGATGAATGCATCTGAGGACGACTGCATGCTCAGTGATTGAGTTTCAAGCATAAATGTGTTTATTTCATTGGTTAAGGATGCTTTATTAGGTCACGGTTAAACAAACAGGGGTCAGCAGGGATCAGCTGGTTTCGTTCACTGCCTCAGGTGCTTCCTCAGCTCTCTGCTAGTGACACTGCTGACTGTATGTTGGGCTTTTCCAGGACGGCTTCATTGACTTCATGGAGTACGTAGCTGCTCTGAGCCTGGTGCTGAAGGGAAGAGTGCAGCAGAAGCTCCGCTGGTACTTCAAGCTGTATGATATAGACGGGAGCGGCTGCATCGACCGCGAGGAGCTGCTGCTTATAATTAAGGTGAGGATGAGGACTTCATGTCATAGTTCAAGCTCGGCTTACTGACAAACCGGAGAAAATCCCAAGTCCTGGAACAACCTGCTAAGACCACCCAGGTCTGACTGGGACACAACAGAAATCACATCTCAGACTTTAGTGGTGCAACGTGTGGAGGCAAAGCTGGCAGCCTGCTGACATCTGCTGGCTGGAAAATGTAACGGTGACAGTCTTGAACACAACCTGCTGTTTTTGTGTCTTGGTTAGTCCATCAGAGCAATCAATGGAGTTCCTAGTGAGATGTCAGCAGAGGACTTTGCAAACATGGTGTTTGATAAGATTGACATCAATGGAGACGGTAAGAACCCTGAGCTGTATGAACATCACTATAGGAGCCACTATACCTGTATCTATATCTATTTATTGCAATGTACCAGATCTATAGCTGTGGCCTGCTATATAAGATAAGATAAAGCTTTATTAATGGTGATGATAACCTATCTCTATCTTTACCTGAAGAATGTGTGCGTTGATCCCATTTCCAGGTGAGCTGTCCTACGAGGAGTTCATGGAGGGCGTTCAGAACGACGAGGTGCTGCTGAAGATGCTAACAGAGAGTCTGGATCTCACACACATCGTCCAAAAAATTCAAGGAGAGATGAGGGCCAACGTCTAATTTACCGACTTTATGGACCCTGAATGTTATATATATTTACGTGTGACTGTGCCACGGTGTGAACATCTGGACTCACACTTTGATAGCTCACAAGACGTGATGAGGACAGGTGGACGAGGATCAGTGTCTGGGGTTCTTACCTGCTTCTCATCCACCCTGAAGAGCCGCTGAGTGGAGTCAATCATGCAACCTCATCACCTCCAATGTTTCCAAACTGGACCTAAAACATTCCCTCTGCAGCAGCAGCAGGTTTGCACATGAACAAGCAATCTACAGAAGCAGCAATAACGTCCAGCGAGACAAAGATGCTGCTTCGGGACTAAACGTCCTCTTGTTGTCACTGAGCAGCTCCTGTGTTGTGAAGACAAGCTGATCTTAATCACTGCAGCTGTTTCACTGTTCAGATGCTTCCTCTGCTGAGTCCAGCTGGAGCAAACGCTGCATGATTCCTCTCTAGTCTGCATTATGTGCCATTATTGCCATTTGATATTTAAATTTTATGTATTTAAAAACAACAACTCTTGTCAGTACCATTTGGAGACTCCTCCGTTTCTTCAGTTGGAGTGTTTCACATGTTGTAGACATCTCCCCTCTTCTGCGCTGTTGTTTTCATGTATTTTTGCAAAGCCTATACAGCAAAGGTTATTTTTTATACTTTGAGTGAGTTAGATGTTTGCGGTAAATCCACTTGACAGTGTTGTATATTTTAAAATAAAAGATCACAATGAAGTTTATCACAACTTTCTTCCTTCATCAGTCTGATTCCAGCCCCTCCTGTTGCTAAGAGCAGCCATCAGGATGTGTCTGCTTTGTTATTTATGTTTTCCTCTGCGGGGCCTTTCAGACTGTAGTATCACTGAAGAAGTGTGAACAATGTCTCTGGGACTCTTTCTGAAACACCAGACTGACTGCTGTTGGGGGTTTGTTCCTGAAGTTCCACATTAGATTAGTTCCTGACATTATCGGGTCTACTGGCTTCAGACTTTGTGGTTTAAAAAGTTTTAAATATTTTTTGGGGGCTGCACGGTGGCTCGGTGGTTAGAACCTTCACCTCACAGCCAGAAGGTCGCCGGTTTGCGTCCCGGTGAGGACACCCGGGATCTTTCAGTCTCCATGTTCTCCCCGTGCAGCGTGGGTTCTCTCCGGGTTCTCCGGCTTCCTCCCACAGTCCAGAAACATGCTGAGGTTAATTGGTGATTGTAAATTGTCCGTAGGTGTGAATGTGAGTGTGCTTGGTTGTCTGTCTCTAAGTGTAGCCCTGTGATAGACTGGTTACCTGTCCAGGTGAACCTGCCTTCACCCTGAGTCAGCTGGGATAGACTCCAGCCCCCCATGACCCTGGTGAGGATTAAGCAGATAATGGATGGTTGGATTCCCGAAGACGACAGACGGAGCAGAATCGACTGTGTGACCAAATACATTTTGGTGTGAGACGGACTTCCAACATTAATAACTGGTTTTCATTCAGTCTTCAAGTAGCTCAGTGTGAACCCTTATTTTGAAATGACAAAACCAGGACGTCTGTGTGGAGTCTCACCTCTCCAGGTCACCATAATTCCAACAGCATTAACAAAAAGCAACTGGTCTTCTCTATTTGCTCTTTGAAGTTGTTTCATCTCTCATCCAGGAGGTTTCTTCAGGTCAGAAGGCTTCTTGAATGAGAGATGAAACATCTTCAAGAACCAGAATGACAAATCCTGTCGCCTTCTGCTGAAGCTCTGAGGGAAAAAAAACCCTGTAGTGCATGGATGTGTTACGGCTGTTGGTGATGCCGTTGTTATTTCATATGTGAAGTTTAACAAGCACACAAAAGGAAAACTGAACAAGTGGAGCATCAGTTTCTCTACAAGTAGTTTTTGGTGGTTTCGACCATTTTGCTTATGACCCCTTAAAATCCAGTAGCATCCACATGGCACCCCTCAGTTTATGAAACTTCCTCCTTGGATTATTTCATATGACTGAATTTAGTGGCCGAAGACAAAAAGTTAGGTCGTGTTTCACAAAAAGACAAAATTAGAGAGAGGTTAGAAAAAATAAGCCTAATTATTGATGACAGGTATTATTCTGTTTCTTCTGTCTCTTTAATCACCTGGTGACCCCCTTGTCCAGTCCACATATGATGGGATTACTGGGGGGGGATCTGCTCCTACAACATCATTTAGGCAGTTTGCACTTACCTGAGTTACCCAAACCACAGCCGGCCTCTGTAGCACCAGTTCACATCCAAGCATGCAAAAACCCATCATTAGCATCACACACGCTGCAACAGGCACACTATGGATGTCACGGTGAAACCAGAAACACCGAGGGCCAGATGCGGACGCACGCTCACCGGATCAAGAGCAGCAGTTTCAGGGAGTGGTTTGTTGTTGTCGAGCCGTTTGTCTTCCTTTTATTATTCGTAATGGGATCATCACCAACGGTCCACTCGTCTTGTGCCACCTCATGGTGAATGTTTAGATTTTTTTTTTTGAATGGAAATTCCCTCTCTGACTAGAGGTGCCAAAAACAGCAGGCTTCATTCAAACAGCGGTTTTAATCAGAACATGCAAATACTTGAACCTGTGTGTCTGCGGCGAAGACAAAACTGTTTTGTGAAATTATTCCTGTAGCCGGATGATCACAGGGGATCTTATAGTGTTGTTTCCATTATTTAAACTATGAGTTTTGTTACATCCTTGTTTAATATCCTGCAGCTAACATCATTTACAGATGTGTTCATATCTGAAATAAACAAATGAGCTCTTTTACATTCATCCTATAAGCTACAATATTTAAAATACATCCCTCATCAAGTCATTTTGATGCAATAATAACACACCAGTGTCAATGTAGGGCTGTAGTCCCTCTTTGGCAGATGGAAAACTGTATTATACGACTGGAACTGGTCTTTTAAAGCTCTTTCAACTGGTATAAAGAAGTGGAGTGTTTATCCTGCAGAACATAGAGACGATACAGTCATGTGTTTTTGCATTATTTTGCATTTAATCTGTTTTTTTCTTCTTTGTGTTTTTGGTGGGGCAAAACAGCTGTTACAAGTCATGTCAGTCACAAACATTATTTGCTCGTGGTTCTCCTTTCCTCCTTCAAAGCAAAGCTCATATGAAATTGCAGCGAGAAATTAAAAAGAAAATCAATTATATGAACACCAGAGATGATAAATAATAACAAAAAAGGTGTCACAAAAACGGTAGGATGAGTAGGATGGAAGAATCACTAATGTCAATGTAATTCCCAGAAAAATAATGTTTCTGTATATATGATAAGTGTCTAGATGTGTGCAAATATCTGCATTATTTTACATTCTGTGTAGATGAAGCCTCTGCAATATCTATTATATATATATCTATAATCTGACTGACTGAATGATTATTATTATTATTGTTGTATAAAATATATGTTATATTGATTTTTTTTTTTTAAGTGAGATTTTACAATATTGAATTTGCCTTCTGGGATAAATAAAGTATTTTTCATTCATTTCATTCATTCATATCTGAAGAGTTCATTTGCAAAAACAGATAACTCCATTTTTGTAGAGTTTCAGAAAACTTAAGCTTTTGTTGTTTGCTTGAGAAAATATCAATGAAACTGAAGTTGAGTGGATTTGACTCAGTAGAAATGACAAAAATAGAGAAAACTGAAGTTTGATTGATGTTGTCTCAGGTTTTCTGAAGGTTTGTGAAGATGGAGGTATCTGTGTTTGCAAACGAACTCTTCATTTTCTCCACATATGGGAGAGTTTGTGCCATATTTTTTTAATATACAGAATACTACTGTGCAATATCAATATTTTTTTTAACACATGGAAGGATATGTGATTAATCAGTATTTCTCTGAACATAGTTCAGAAGAAATCAGCACAATATCAATATTATTGTGTCCAACACGTCCGCTGTCTGCTGTGTGATGTTCCTGAATGTTTAAATGCAGTCAGGTCCACAGAACATGTGTCCATGAATGAGTGTAAAGAAAAACCAGACTGAATACATGCTCATGTGGAGATCAGGATGGATCTGGATCCTACGTGAGAAAAACTGGTCAGATGTGTCCACGCGCTCCGTGAAAAGCAGCTGCTCGGAAAGGTGTGTCACCGCCGTGACGTCACGGCCGTACCTGAGTTTCGGTGAGGGAAAAAAGGGGGAAGGACCGAGCGAGTGAAAAACATCAGCTCGTCTCTGCTCCGAGGAGGAGAGAGAGAAAAAGACAACAACTTTTCCTCTTTTTGTTATTGTCGGTCAGCGTCGTCGTCGAAGCGGATCTGCGGTCAGTTTGGAGACGGAACAGTTGGTTTTGTGTCCAGCTGCTTCTTCGGGCCTCTCCAGCACCTCCACAACTTCCTGCTTTGCCACAGGTACGTGCGTTCTTCTCCCGGTATCATGTTCGGCCGCTTTGGTTGTTTTAGTTTCCTATCACTTCTCCTGACGCGTTTAAAGACGCGCTTCAAATCACACAGGCTCCCAAATCCGTGCGCAACTGCACAGATGTCCCAAACAGGCCGCTCCGTCTGTCCAAGTCAAGCCCGGCAGCTTTTAGTCTGTTTGGAAAATCCGGCTGTGCAGGATTTCGCTGCGCTATCTGATTGTACACAAGATCCCCAGCTAATGAGGAGGCCACTCTCTGCTCTCTTCTTGTCCGTCAGGATGTCCGTCACCCCGCGACGCGTCCGCCTGAAGCCCTGGCTGGTCGCTCAGGTGGACAGCGGACGATACCCGGGTCTGGTGTGGATTGACCGGGACGCCATGCGCTTCAGGATCCCATGGAAACACGCCACACGACACACACCGCAGCACGAGGATGAGGACACCATATTCAAGGTAAAAGACTCTTTGGGTTCACCGGAAACAGAAGAGACTTGTTGGTTTTGTGCTGAATCTGAAAATACGCGCAGGTTGGAGCCTCCTCCTGCGCAGCCGGTGACTCTGACAGTCCGCATATTTCTTCATCCCTGGTTTATGTGCTGAGTCATGCCAGTGAAGCATTGTTTTAAAAATGGACAAATATGCTGAAAAAAAAGTTTGCATTCAGCCTCTGGGTTTGCAGGTTGGTTACATAAGGAATGAGAAGCCATGCATGGGGTCTAAGGTGCAGGTGGGCGGCTCAGTGCTGGGGCCCAGCAACGGATTTCACATCAAACTGGCAATTAGCAAATCACAAAAGCTGCAGTTTAAAATATGCCTCATGCAGCAAGTCTAACCAAGAATGTAAAGTGTCACGTCAATGTTTTACAAATCCATCCTCCATGTGTGACTTTTTCACATAGTAATGCTCAGTCATGTTTTAAATCTGTTACTCTGAATATTGAACTGAAGCTTTACATTGAAAAAGTCACATTTTAAATCAAATTGCTAAAACTTCAAGAAAAATGTAGAGTTACAATTTTAAAAATGAGACTTTTCCCCTAAATCATTTACCCGTATAGGTTCTGTTGATGCACTGGGTCTGTATTTGTGTTGCTGCGATTAGAGATTGAACTGATTCTGGGAAATGTAGTTTTTTGTTTTTTGTTATTTATGAGATTGTAATTGGGTGTCTTACGTCTTAGCTATGTTTCTGCACGTGTGCCAAGTCACTGTTTTTAAAGAAAAAGGTCACAATACAGGAAAAATTGCTGCAAAATTAGTAAGTTGGGTTGAATTTTTTGGAGTCAAGTGACACCATTTAAAATCAGACCTTTAGGAGCGACGCCCCTCTTCCTCTGGCGTAGCTGTGAATGCATTTTGCAGCTATGAGACCTTGTCATGGACACTTGATGTGCACAGCGCCTGGCCTCTTTCAACAGACAATGCAAGTAACAGTACTGGTTAAAAATAAGAAAAAATGTGTGGATGCTGAGTGGAAAAATCTGAAGATGTTGAAACAGCCTGTGACACTGATACCTCCGTGTTCCTCCAGGCGTGGGCCGTGGAGACCGGGAAGTTCCAGGAGGGAGTTGATGAACCCGATCCCGCCAAGTGGAAAGCTCAGCTTCGATGCGCCCTGAACAAAAGCCGGGAATTCAACCTCGTGTACGATGGCACCAAAGAGGTCCCCATGAACCCTCTGAAGATCTACGACGTGTGCGACATCCCACAGCCGCTCAGCAACCAAGGTGCACGAGAGCGGTGTGAATACGGTGGATTGTCCTTATCCTCAGTTCTTCTTTACACAATTTCTTGCTGCTTCTCACCCTGCAGGCTCCTCAGACGCTGGCTCCTGGACTCCACACGATGAAGATGGCGGTGAGGAAGATCTTCCAGATACACCAGGCTCTCCCCCTCCGTATCCGTCCAATGGTGAACAGCTTTTCCTCAAACCTTACAGCTGTTTGATATTTTGTGGCCGAAAAATCCGCAAGCAAAGCAAAAAGGTGCTGCTGTGAATGACAAACTGTTTCTTCTCTCTTTCCTCCTGTAGGCACCAGCCCCTCTCCTCTCATCATGTGGTCTCCGATGGGCTCGGAGTCGTCCATGCAGCCCCCTAGTTGCCCTCCTTCCAATGAAGTCTGGCCCAAAGAGGAGCCGGTGGATGTGGAGATGCACCCGACGCCTCTGGATGACCTGCGTCCTGCTCCTCTGCCGGATCCCTCCATGCAGCCCCCTCTGCTGACCGAAGCCTTGTTTGCTTCTCCAGAAATGTGGATCAGTTCCCTCCCCAGTGAGTGTTTTCTGAGCCTATTAGCTCTCCCGGTCCAGACGAGTTCCTTGACGTTTCTTAGGTGACCAAAATGTGACTGCCTCAAAAGTTTTCTTTAACCTGCAAGACGCTGTGGCTTTAAACAATCAGCCAACCAAAGTTTAACTGAAATGAACAGTCAGTGGAGCGATTATTTTAGAAATAACTCAGCAGCTGTCAAGGAAGGAATGTTTGCTTTTCCCCATTTTAGACGACAGCCAACTCAACAACTTTGTGTTCTGGACAATAAATCAAGCCTGTTTCTCTGGGAAACAATGATGGCCTTTTTTCTATTTATGTTCTGTAATTGTAGGCAAAACAACTAGTCTTTTAATTGAGAAACTAGTAATCAGATCAATAATAAAAATAAAAAATAAAAAAAAAAGTAGGTGCTGTGCGTAGTGGGAGGATGCACAAAAGTTGTTCTTATTTAAACGGTGACAGTGAAGTGTTGATGTTAATTCAATTCAAATAACTTTATTTATCCCCTAGGGACAATTCAAAAGCTCACTGATTATTTAATATAAAGACATAAAAAAAAAAGAAAACAACAAACCACATCATAAATATCTCATTATATTACGTGGGATGAAATTTGGAGAGTCAGGGGTCATGACTTCCAATCTGTTAAGCACAGTCTGAAGCTGCAGCTGCCTTTGCTTTAGGCTGGATGTAGACCAGGATTAAAAAACATAGCTGGGAGAATTCCCTAGGAAGGTGGAAAAAAAAACAGCTGTATAATTGAACCTACACTCACAACTTGACGCCACACCTTCAGTAAGATGAGGTGTGTGTTTAAGCTTTTGGGTGTACTGTTCCTTTAACCGAAGCATCTCTTCAGTTGCACACCACACAGAGTTCTAACACGTCTGTCCTGCTGCAGTGACGGACCTGGAGGTGCAGTTCCTCTACAGAGGGAGGGAGATGTGTCCCACAGTGACCGTCAGCAACCCGCAGGGCTGCAGGCTGTTCTACGGAGACCTGGGGCCCATGGTCAACCAGGAGGAGCTGTTCGGGCCGATCAACCTGGAGCAGCTACGCTTCCCCAGCACAGAGCACATTACCAATGACAAGCAGAAGGTCTTCACTAACCGCCTGCTGGATGTGATGGACAGAGGCCTGATCCTGGAGGTCAGCGGCCACGACATCTACGCAGTCCGCCTCTGCCAGTGCAAAGTGTACTGGTCCGGCCCCTGTGCTCCCAACCCCGGCGCACCCAACCTCATAGAGCGGCAGAGGAAGGTCAAGCTGTTTTGTCTGGAGTCTTTTCTCAGCGGTGAGTGTTTCCACTGCATCATGCTTGAATTGTTGATTCTAAATGATTTTCTTTATTTAGTCCACTCTGCTGTGGGAAAGAGTTCTAATAACGTCTTTGCTGGACGTGCAGGTGTGATCGCCCACCAGCGCAGCCAGAATCCGAGCCCTCCCGACTTTGAAATCAGCCTGTGTTTTGGAGAGGAGTGGCCCGATGGTAAACCGAAGGAGAGGAAACTTATCATGGTCCAGGTGAGAGTATATCGCAGTTTTTTGTATTTAAAGGTCCCATCGAGGGATAAGTGCCGTAATGTCCGGACTATAAGCTGCTACTTTTTTCACACACTTTGAACACTGATGCGGCTAATTTATGGATTTTTACGAGTTTAACGAATTTGCGTCGAGATGAAAGTGACGTTGAGAGCGACAACAAAAGACAGACTGAGGAAGTGACGGAGTGATTCTGAGGCTGTTTGACACTGAAGAAGACGACTTTAGTGGTTTTAGTGCAGGAGGAAGATGAAGATAGCGATCAGTGACTTTTCCTGGTAGGGTGCTGTATGTTTTATTTTCTTAACCAGTCGTGTTACAGGAACTGTTCAGAAAAAAGCATCTATGATATGTATTTAATTAAAAGTTTAAAAGCATCTTTCTGTGTAAATATCTCGTGTTACAACGTGGACACCTGCAGCTTAGAGACAAGTGCAGCCTGGATATGAACAATTTATTTTTTCTTTTTAAAGTTAGTGGGTGCAGCTTATATTGAAGTGCGCTCAATAGTCCAAAAATTACGGTAAACAAGGGACAAGCAGGGCAGTAAACAAGGGAGGAGATGGTTCACTTTTATACCTGTCTGCTTTAAAACCTAAAACAGTTCAGTGACAGGTTTGAACGCTCATGTTTTCCTGCATTAAAGAGAACAAGCAGCCGTCGACTCTTCTTACTTGGACATTTTTTAAATGATATAAAAGGTCAAAGGCTGCTGTGTAATAGTTCACATTGAAGACCAGCTGTGGATCCTCGCCACACGTGGACGATTGTAAAGAGTCTGAATGCGCCACATCTGATTCGTCCGTCTCGCCCTCTCTCGCCCTGCAGGTGATCCCCGTGGTGGCCCGAATGATAAGCGAGATGTTCTCCGGAGACAACACACGATCGTTCGACAGCGGCAGCGTCCGGCTGCAGATTTCAATCCCGGACATCAAAGACAACATAGTGACCCACCTGAAGCAGCTGTACTGCCTGCTGCAGGGCCACCAGGGCCAGGAGGGCTGGGCGCTGCCCCCCGGCTCGGGCCTCAACATCGCCCAGGCTCTGCAGAACCAGTGAAGCAGGCCACACTGTGAACTAATATACAGGAGGTGTATATTTCCCTGCTGACACTGAGAGTTAATCATATTTAGGAGTGTGCTCAATATTCTGTAGGATTCATATGCTTGTACGCTTCTGTCTAGTCTAAATGTGCTGTGATGATGCTGTTCTATATATAAGAGCTGTAGACGGATGTGATGGCTGCGTGGGCCAAAGTCCTGCCGGCGACTGTAGTTAATGAGTTACAGATATTGCCCTGTGCCTGTTATTTATCCAAAATGGTTCAACAAACTTTCCTCGAGTTTGTCATTCATCAAGCAGAGCAGAATGCTTTTTATCTTTTGACCTTAAATCTAGAGTGAGATCTGTATGTTTAGGCAAAAAATATCAGCAAATGTGAATCAAAGTATGGCTGGATATGGATTCCTCTACAGTTCATGCACCACCGTGCTGTCCAGCTGTTTGAGATCTCACCGTCCCGAGCACATGCAGGTGGTTTTTTTAATAGAATCAGCCATTTTATTTTTCCATTTACACTGTAGGATATTTTTATATTCACCTCTTTCATCTTTTCGAGCTGTTTGTTGTATCCAGGCGGCCGTTTAACTGAACACCATTCAGCTACGTGGGTCTCTTTGGAAATAGATGCCACTGCACTTTGGGCGCTGAATGAGGTTTTATGGCGTGTTGAATGTCCGTGTATGTACCCTGTGATTGCATGTTTATTTTATCAATAAAAATGGTGAAACAACTCTATTTTTCCCCCCAGTTTTATAATGAAGACAAAGTAAAGTTGCCTTTAAGGGTGAAATATGTCTGCTTGCATCGATGCAGCTCTTCGGGGGAAACTGTAGCTTCTTGTTAAAACAGTGTTTGTGCTGCTGCTGGAGGATGAGTTTTTTTCTTTTTCCTGCAGCTCAGAACCCTCTGAAGGTGCCCTAATTTTGACTGCTTTAGATAAACAGCAGCCAACGTGGTGCCGGTGCAATCTGAGAACTGGCATCAACTTTACTGTCGAGTCGGTTTCCACATATGAGCAATGATTTGATGCATAACAGTAAATTAGAACATTCAACGTGCTCTAATCTGCTGCATCAGTTCAGGCCCTGAACCTTCAAAATCAAGTCATTTTGTCAGTAATTATAATTTGATTTCCCTCCTCCTGACAGTAAATACTGTAAAACATTGACTCTACAGACCAGACAAACCTAAAGCAGCACATTTACTGGAGTTAAAATAGACTGATGGATCAGTTCTTACACTAAAATAATTCTATTGAGCCTAATAGCGCTGATGGAGGAGATATAATTCATAAAAGTACTGCGTAGGCATTAATACAGTGGAAATGTTACTGTATGTGGTCACACACTAGTAAATTGGATCCGTTTACTACTTTCCTTTTTGATAATTGCGCTGTTCAATGCCACGTTCTGTATGTTTCTGTATATTTAAAGATCCTAACATGCAACAAAAAGTGAAATAGGCACCGATTTTATAACTTTAAAACTATTAAAAATATTTGATGCCTACAGTTTTTGAGATACTTCCAGGAGCTACTTTCCATCCTGACTTCACCGACAGGCTCGCTGGGATTTGTGTAGGTTTGTTATTTAGCCACTGGCTGATTTTCCGGTTGAATGATCTTAAATAAGCTCTCAGATCAGATGACGTGAACCCTGCCAGCTCTTGCAATTGACCTCTTTGCACACAAGTTATGTGCCAGATCCTTGGAGCTAAATATGGTCATGTTGTTTCATTACATCACGGAGGAATTCTTCCTGGTTAATGTTTGCCGACATGCGGTGGACATAGAGTCAGGAGGCCAGGTGGACGGCTGCTGAGTCCAACCTACAGATTGATTTTAGAAGCTAAAAAGAAGAAGAAGTGAAGTGATACAAGCCTGATTAGATTTCCTGTTCTGTTCTGTTGCCTGCTCCTTCTCCAGTATTTGCTCCATAGATATAGTAAACATGCTAAAGGGACATCAGGGGAAAAACACCTGAAAGAATTAAAAACCTGAATAGATGAGGAACATACATAAAAAAAAGAAAAAATGACAACGAGAACATTCTTGCTGACATAATGCTGATAAGACCTAAAGTCCTGGAAGCTGTTCACTTTTTCCAGGGTGAGGTGATTTCCTCGGTATCTGCTAACCTTTGGTCACATGGGATGCCACACTGAGGATCTCACACCCACATAGGCTCCATATAGCACAAATCATTTGGCTACCGGCAGCGGACTTTGTCCTTCTCCTTTATGAGGAAGTCTTGGGCGCAGATTGACGAAGAGAAGAAGATCGAAATATGAGTTGTGCTAAACTATACATAGGGAAGTAAGAGCGACACCGAACAGCCGACAGCTGAAGGTAAGAAGCTGTGAGGATAAATCTCAGCAGGATTTGTTTGTTTGACTAAATGATGTGTTGTGAGGCGTGCTGAGAGTTTAGATTTCATTAAAGACAATTAGAACCAAATCATCACAACCTTCTCCTCAGAGTATCTTAAGAACATATGGAAATCATGGACAACAGTGTTTAGATTTACAGAGAAATGTGTTTTGAACAGACTATTTGTGTTTGAAACCTGTTTTCTTTGTTTTATCTGTTCAAGCGGACCATCCACCACCGTTCATGTCATATGTTACATAACAACGCCACCTGATAAACCTTTGTCAGCTTAAAATAAAGATTAAAGGCACAAGAAAGCTGCTAAAATCAAAGTTTAATGGATGTATTTTTGATCAGTTCTGGTGAGTCAGCTCATATCGCTGACGTCATGCCTTTATGGTGTGTGTTGTTCACTGCAGGTGTGTTAGGTCAGGATGTTCAGGACTAACAGCCCCTTCAGCCATGAAACCAGCAGCTATGCAGGATCCATCCCGTCCACGTACGTATTTCACAGTCTGGCTTCTCGAGAGCGATTTATTGTTATGTCTTCATTAATCAGCAGATCGTTCATGTAATTGTGCTGTTTCCTGTTGTGACAGCGGTTATTCCACGATGGATGAGATATCATCTCAGGTATCAAGTCTGTCGAAGCCCAGCGCAAAGTCAATTTACTGTAAGTTAACTCTGCCGGCCTTAACGAGGGATTCCAGCTGTTTACTTTAATCTGTGACGAATACAGAGCTCTGCTTTCTGCTTCAACAGTGCAGAGGATGGAGTACGCAACGTCAATAAACAAGATGATGGACAAGTTTCAGTACAGAGTGGAGGTACAGCCGTGGAATGACATCGTCTTTATCTTACAGATGTGACGCCCTGATTGCTGCTGTGTTTATTCTGAATGTCTCCGTATTGCAGCACTTATTCACTTGTGACCTGGACGGGAGGGAGATGAGGAACATCAGAGACTGTGTGGAGCGTCTGAAGCTGCTGGATGAGATGGGTCGCGTGTGGGGTCAGAACATGCTGCTGGAGCTGCGAGATGCCAACCTGCTGCTCACAGACATCGAAAGCAAGGTAAACAAATCAGGAGATAAAAGTGAAGCGGAGTCTCTGACAACCTCCCTCTATCCACAAAGCATGACGGGTTTCAGGTGAATGTAAATTAGATGTTCAGGAATTTGACAAATATATTGACAGTCTTTAAACTCAACAAACAAATGAGAGAATGTTTTTTGAAGTTAGTTTAGTTTGTTTTTATTCATATGTTCATAAAGCAAATCATCTCAAGGCTCCTCACACGGTGGGTGGAGACCCGTTAACTTTATAGCAGAAAGAGAAGCTCAGTAAATCCAAATAATTCCTTTTCAGCAGCTCCTCTGGCAGCAGTGGGGAGAAAAGACACTCGCCTTTAACGGAAACAAACCTCAGACAGAACGAGGGCCGGGGAAGGCGGTCATCTGCCTCCATCAGTGATGGAGCTCCGTCATTAAGAGCTTTGTGTTTGAGGAGAAATTACATTCTGGGTTTTACAGGGAGCTGCTGCAAAGAAGCTAATATTTGGCCAAGATGATAAAAAGGAATTAAAATACTTGAGTCTAGAAGTAACTCTTCAATTTGTCACCTGTCTGTAAAATGCCACTGTTGGTATTAACAGGAGGAAAGAGAAACCAGAAACCTGGAGACACTGTGTGTTATCCACAGTAATAAAATATATATATATATATATATAATAAAAGCATATTCATGAAACCTCTAACTATGTAAAACCTCTATTCTGAAGCTAAGCTTTCTAACAGTCCAGTAAGACTACCTGTGGTCACAGTTTTTCCCAGCAGGCTTTTGTTTTTCAGACAAAGAATAACAACAGAAACACGTGCGTCTTTGTCATTTAAATATTTAAAAAAAAACAATTACACATTTAGGTTCTTTCAGAGATTTGTTATAGGTCTACTGGAAATATATCAGAATCTGCTGCCTCAAAAAACATACATACAGCAACTTGAATGATCAGTTTTATTGATTTAAAAAGCTGTGTTCATCAAAGCTTCTAAATCCTAACTTGTCATGAGTGATTTCGACCGACTACAGCTGAGGACTCCTGTGTGCACAACATGTTAAATCCAGCATACAGTTATGTCACTGCCATGATCAGAAAGAAAACACAAGCTACCACCTGCTGCTGCTGACAGCTGGTCAGGATGGTCAAGAGTCAACCAGGGTTCACCAAAAGGCAGGTTTGCCATGAATGAGAAGCTGCTGGATCACAATCACAGTCAAGTGTGTTTTATATCCCCATGAACTGAACCTCTGCCTCCAGAAGCAGCACCTTAAAACTGGACTGAAGTTTGCTGCTGATCACATGGACAAATAAAAGGCCTTCTGGAGGAAAGTTATCTGTTCAAATGGAACAAAAGCTGAGCTGTTTGGCCACAATGAGCAGAAACATGTTTGGATGAGAGAAGGTGAAACCTTTAACCCAAGAACACCAAACCTGCTGTGGAGCACGGTGGCGGCAGCATCATGCTCTGGAGCTGTTCTGCTGCCAGTGGAACTGATGCTTTACACAAAGTAAATGGAATAATGAAGCAGGAGGATAACCTCCACGTTCATGAGAAAACCTAAAAGCATCAGCCCAAAGGCTGGGTCTTGGACCGCCTTGTGTGTTCCAACAAGAAAATGACCTTAAACACACAACAAAAGTGGTAAAGAAATGGTTAAATCAGGCTAGAATTAACCTTTTAGACTGGCCTTCCAAAGTCAAGTCAGTTTTATTTGTACAGTGCAGTTAACAACATACGCCATCTCACAGCGCTGAACACAGTCAGGTATAGACCTTACACATTCAAACAGAGAACCCAACAATCCAAAACTGCCTTTGGACCTCCTCTGAGCAAGTGGTCGGCAATGGTGGGAAGAAACCCAAACCTCTCACTGGTTCCCAGCATTTTGGATCAGCTGAAGGTTTTTGAGAGAATTTTTGGGACATCCTGATAAAAGGGAATCACAACAGTCCAGTCTAGAAGTTCTAAATGATGGACTAGTTTGTCAGCATCACTCTGAGACAGGATGCTCCTGATTTTTACAATACTACGTAGATGAAAGAAGGCTGTCCTACAAACTGGTTTTATATGTCTATTGAAGGACATGTCCTGGTCAAAAATAACTCCAAGATTTTTTACAGTAGACCTGGAAGCCACGGCGATGCCATCTGGAGCAGCTATCTGGTTTCATCGTGTGTGTCTGAGGTGTTTAGGGCCAAATACAATAACCTCAATTGTCTGGATTTAAATGAAAGAAATTCTAGGTCATCCAGGTCTTTATGTCCTTCAGACATGCCTGGAGTTTGACCAACTGAATGGTTTCATTTGGCTTCATTGATAAATATAACTGGGTGTTGTCTGCATAACGGTGGACATTTATGCAGTGCTTTCTTATAATACTGCCTACAGGGAGCATGTACAAGGTAAATGATATTGTTCCTAACACGGAGCCCTGTGGAACTCCATAACTAGCATCATTAACATGAACCAACCGGAATCTGTCTGATAAATAAGATTTAAACCAGTTCATCAATAGTCACAACTTAAACCTCATCGAGAATCTGTGGATTGTGTTAAAGAAACTAATTCATGCCAACAGACTGAGTTGAACTGCATCAGTTCTGTCCAGAGGTTGAAGCTACAGTTTGCCAGAAGCTTGTGGATGGCCACTGAAGGCATCTAGTTTAGGGTCAAACTTGTCAAGGGATGTTTAACCAAATATTAGCTGTGCTGTGTGTATACTTTATCTATGAAAGAGCCAAAACGCATGATGTTGTTTTTGGTGACAAAATGATTCCACCATCAGAATATTTAGAGTCATAGAAGTCAGTGGATATGCAAGACTTCCATGACAGTCATTGTCTTTACAGGTGTATGTAAGCTTTTGTTCATATTTGATGGTGGGAACAAGAGATGTCACGTCCCAGAGTCAATGTGAATCTGATTTATTACGCTGTAGGAAAGACTGATGCAACAACAGACAAATTATACGACCGGGTGGTGTGTTATCTAGCAGCCTACAGCTGAGTCATCCACAGGAGAATCTCAGCATTCAGGATGACTTTATGACAGCGGTTTCTGCTCACACTGCTGTGTTTTCTCAGGAGGAGCTGGACTCTCTGGCTGTCAGCGACATCCAGGAGCTGGAGGCTGTGCTGGACGCTGGCGGGTTTAACTCGCTGCTCACGGTGTCGGTCCAACAAAGGAGGAAACACACCACGAAGGTCTACCTGTTCCAGTGTGATGATATCAGGGTGAGGACACGTGGAGACGACGGTTGTTACCACGTCTGATAAGAGAAAGACACGACCAGTGACTGTCGGTTCTGTTGTTTGCAGGCTGATTATGTCCAAAAGAGTCTCTCACAAGCGCTGTTACGCAAGAGAGGGAACGCAGACATCAGGTAAAGCAGCTTCTCCATACGCTCTAAGTGTTGTTGTTGTTTTTTGTCATGATTTCACCCCTCACACCTTCTGAAGCAGGAACACAGCGAAACCACCGTCTAAACCTCCTGCTGAGCCGGTGCCACAGTGGATCGGTCCGGACTATGGTGAGCCTGTGACCGGACACACAGCACCCATACAGCTGATGATTGTTAGTGACGGCTTTCTCAATGATTCTGGTTCTGTGTCTGAAAGATGAGGATTCGCCCGAGTCCGACCTGGAGGATGACAGAACTTTAACAGAGGTTCCGACTCCGCCGCCCTCTTACCGTATAGAACCTTTACCTCCTCGCCGGTACACAGAGCTGGACAGGAATGTGGTGAGTGTCCTTCATACAGCTCCTCCTAAAAGCATACATCCTTCCTTGGACATTTAGCTCTTATTGGGTTTTTTTAAAACATTGAATCATAAACTTATTTGGACAAAAATTTACAAAAAGACTCTTTCATGTCAAAGTGAAAACAGATCTTTGCAAAGTGATGTCCATTAATTAAAACAAGTGATTGCATAAGTATTCAACCAGTAATTCTGTGAATACTTATGCAGTCACTTATTTTAGATTTTTTTGATTGTTATGGGGGCTGCAAGGTGGCGCAGTTGGTTAGCACTGTTGCCTCGCAGCAAGAAGGTTGCCGGTTCGCGTCCCGGTGGGGGCACCGGAATCTTTCTGCGTGGAGTTTGCATGTTCTCCCCGTGCAGCGTGGGTTCTCTCCGGGTTCTCCGGCTTCCTCCCACACAGTCCAAAAACATGCTGAGGTTAATTGGTGATTGTAAATTGTCCGTAGGTGTGAATGTGAGTGTGCTTGGTTGTCTGTCTCTAAGTGTAGCCCTGTGATAGACTGGTTACCTGTCCAGGTGAACCTGCCTTCACCCTGAGTCAGCTGGGATAGACTCCAGCCTCCCATGACCCTGGTGAGGATTAAGGTGTAGAGATGATGGATGGATGATTGTTATGGAGTAATTGATCCTGTGAAGACCTGCGACTCTTTTGTTGTTGCATATTTGAATCAGAAAACATTCAGTGACATTTAGGAGGAGCCCAACATGACATCTTTTTTTCCTCTTATTTTACAGGATATTTTGAATCATATTTTGGGTGACATAGAAATCTTCATGGGACAAGTAGCTGCAGCAGAAGCTAAAAATGCAAAGAAGAAGAAGAAAAAGAAAAAAGGAAAAGGTAAGTTCATGCAGCATTTAATGGCAGAAACAAAACAAGTGCATTGCTTATTCAGGAGTATTTTATATTAAACCAGTTGCTTTTTATTGTAGAAAATATCCGCTGTGGGGTCTAAATCTTGCATATATATATTTGTCTTTCAGTCATAGAGGGCATGCCACCCAGAGAAGAGTTTGCAACATGTCTCCATCAAGTCAAATGTGGTCTCAACCTTCTGGTTCGTATCTTCATTCACAGTCATCTCAGTCTGTGTTGCTCCCGTTCGCTCTGTAATTGTGCGTCTTTCCTTCGACAGGGCGAGCTGAAAGGACAGATCAGTAGCCCCAGTGCTGGTGACTTTGTCCACTCCTTCTTCTCCACCATAGGATTCGTAAGTGACGCCTCAGGTTTCAGCTTTAACTGACTTGATGTTTAGAAACACCATCAAAAAGTTCCAAATGCTCTTTTCTTATACAGCAAGTACAACATTAAGCTTTAGGGATTCTGCAGGGGAAGAAAGAAAAAGTACAAATTACTGGGAAAACAACAACAACAAACAAACAAAACACAGCACCGGCTCAGATTTACACACAAAACACCAGAGGTCACAGTTAGGATGTGCAATAAGTGTGTTGAGGAAAATCCCTGCAGCGTGATGAGCCGTGACTCACCAGACTCTACGTATCATAAGTTAATGTTTTTCTAGAGTGGCTCTTTTTTGACTCTAAAGTCTGACTGCTAGCCATTAGCCGTTAGCATGTTTTACCTAGTTTACTGGAATAAATGTTCGTCCTTGCAAGAAGAACAGAGTGCAGCGCCTTGGTTATCGATTCTGCATATTTAGTTACGAGGCCCAAGGTGGACTTTTCCATGTTGCACATTTCCACAGGCTGTTCAAACATTTGTGCTTCAGTGCATCATGTCAGGGATGAGTTCATTCAGCCTTTAACATAAATGTTTTAACACCTCTTTGTTCATGTTTCCTCTCTATAGTTAAAGGATAGATCACGTGTATATGTCAGATATTGACCATTATGTTGTCTTATCAGATGGCTGTAGAGCTTTAATCCAATGTTCAGACACTTCTTGAGTAAATCTGGCTCAATAGCAGAGCAGGATGTGCACAAAACCGGCTTCGTTCACTCTTTGTCCTCACCAGGTGGTGTCTCACTGCCCTGAAGATCTGCCGCCGTCCATCGTGGCGCCGCTGCTGACGCCGTACTGCATCCGTCTCATGAGCGAAGAGGCGTCAACAGAGGAGGACACGCTGTGGCAGAGTCTGGGAGACGCCTGGAACATCCCCAGGTTTGTAACCTCACATTTTATCTCTCACTGAATGTGTTGTCAGGATGATACTCAGGTGTGACAATATTACCAGCACCCAGTGGCCAGAGGATGACGAGGACATCCCAACCTATACCCTGGAGTTCTCTGATGGCTGGCAGCCTCCTGAAGTAAGTGCAGAACCTGAACCCAGTGAACCTGTGAGGAGACCAGCAAATTCACCACCTGCTCCCAGGCAGCCTGAGAGGAGGCAGGAGAACCCGCCGCCTTCACCCAGGCAGCCTGAGAGGAGGCAGGAGAACCCACCGCCTGCACCCCGCCAGGTAAACTTTAAACCTCCAGGTAGCTTGTGAGCATCGTGTCCTGGCTCTTAATTCTAGTTAAACTTAACTAAAGAAGAAGAAGGAAAGTTAAGACCATTTACCTTTTCTGCACAGACTGTCGCCAAATGGACACCACCACCACGGCCTCCACAGCAGAAGCGGTACGCACAAGAACACGAGTTATGATTCAAGGTAACAGGAAGATGTTTAAAACCTGGAGGTTCTTATGTTGTTGACTTTGATGTGCTTGCAGCCCAGGTGAGGGAAAGCAGATGCGCGTGAAGCACGACTTCACGTCCAGAAACAGCAGAGAGCTCAGCGTCAGTAAAGGAGAAGTGGTGGAGGTGAGGCAGCTGCTTCCTTTTAGTGATGAATAGAAAGCTCCACGGCTCTAAAGTTAACATGTGCTTCATTCCTCTGCAGCTGCTTGACATGTCGAAGCAGTGGTGGAAGGTGAGGAACCGCAGAGGGGAGGAAGGATTCATACCCAACAACCTTCTGGAGTCTGATGAGGACAAACCTGACGAGGAGGTGGTGAGCGCTCAGCAAACACTAAAACGACTCAGTGGAGTAGAAGACTCAAAAAGTGAAATAGTCACTGAGAGAGTTAATGAAAACGGTCCACATGAAGGATGAGAAGGATGTGATTCTCAGATTACTGCTCGTTAATTTTACATCTCTGGCTGATGTTTATTTGTATAAATCGGAGCAGAAAAATCGAGGAGAAGAAGAAAAAATAGCCGACTGTGCAAACACAATGACAGTAAAACACGACACACTGGTTATGTGTGGATATGTTTTTTCTTCTTCAAACTGTTTACCAGGTATTTTGATGTGAGATAATCCTATGTACATTTAACTGAAGCCTCAGTGCATTACGTTTCCTTTTCCAAGGAGGTTTCTCCCGTCCTGACGAAGAAGGCCAAACCAGCAGAAGTGAAAGCCTGGCTGGAAGACAAGGGCTTCAGCAAAATGTAAGTACATCCACCGAGTAAACATAAATGATGGCTACACAATACCCACATGAATAATTTATTAGTGACACGTGACTTATGAAAATGAAAATCCTCTGATGAGCTGCTTCAGTGCTGGATGATGATGTAGCTCCCCAGTTACAGCGTGTTTGGATGAACAACAGCTTTCTCATGCAGACTCAACATCAGAACAAATTCAATACTAGCAGGCAGAAAAACAAAAGCTCTTCGCCGGTGTGACAGCTCTGCAGAACCCAGTCATAAAGCTGATTGTGGTGTAACTTGACACAGAAAACTTTCCCCTATCTGGCATTGCTTGGTTTGGTAATCATTGATTAATCTACCAGCGATTATTGACGGATCAGTGTTGCTTATCTCCTGCAGCACCGTGCGCTGCCTGGGTGTGCTGAGCGGCTCCATGCTGCTGGGGATGACCAGAGAGGAGCTGAAGTCGGTTTGTCCAGAGGAAGGCGGGCGAGTCTTCTACCAGTTACAATTAGTGAAGTCCACCTTGGCTGTGAGTCAGAGAACACGGCGCAGCTTCATTCGTTTGTAGCGTCCATGTAGAAACGTTTCTGGTGACGACTCTCTCTCTCCAACGCTCCAGGTCGCCGCCTTAGAAAGATCCCCTTGACAGTGAAGAGGACATGAAGGAGGACGCAGGAGAAGGAGATCTTCAGTCGGGAGATGCTGTAAACCTTCAGCTAATGTTCAGCAACACCAGGTTTACAGCGCGTTAGAGTTTATTCTTGTTTGAAATCAAGAAAGTTCCAACATGTTGTCTCATATAATGTAAATGTCACTTTAGAATATACGTGAATAATGAAGCTATCTGGAAATGTTTCAAGCAGACATGTAATCAAATCAGAACATCTGATGTGGAGACCGGCAGACGCTGGATTTTGTTCTTAACCTGTTATTGCTGCATTGATCGACATTGTTTGTACAGTCGTCCTCAGATTTATTCATCCCCTTCCATTAAAGAAAAGGCAAAATTCACACTCAAATAACTAGAAACTGAAAAAAATAATAATAAATAAAAATTTTCTAAATTATAATTTAGTGAAACAAGACATTACCTTTAAATTGTGGTTGAAAAGAATAATTAAAAAAAAAAAAACGTCCTGGACTAATAAGAGCACTTTGCTGATGAGCAGTGAAACCAGAATACCTGTCAACAGGTGCAGAAGTCTGACTGAGAGTTACAGGAAACACCTGAAGGCAGTGATTGGCTCAGAGGGTTGTTCAACTAAATATTAGTTCACAGGTCCATCATGCTGGTTTGATTATTTTTGTTGTTTTTTTAAAATATTTCTGTTGAACCACAATTCAAAAGCAACATCACGATTTTCATTACATTTTTATTTATTATTATTTTTGTCAATTTCAACTTATTTCAGTTGTTTTTTTCCTTCTTTAATGGGAGGATATGAACACATCTGACTGTATATATTGATGGACTAACGGTTTATTAGCTTTCCAGCAACGTTTAAGATATTGAGTTAGCAACATTATCCTAAAGACACCCCCTGATATGTGCTCTGCTACATGTGCTGCACACAGTGCTGTTGAAAACAACTGTCGGAGCTGCTCGGTTGGACAAACTGGTACCAGTTCAAAC